ATTTATATACATTAATTACATTTAACCGCAATTATTGTTACAATATGCATTGTTTACTAATAAAAATAATAGTAAATGTTTTACCTCGAGCTTGGAGACGTGTTTCGTTAATAATCATTAAATTGACACACATACTTCCGATTTAATAAATTCGCAGTTTCATTTAAATACGGTTTTTAAATAAACACAATTAAAATTGACTTATGGTGAATTTTAGAGTTTAACAGCTTGATTGGAAACATCGATATAAAATAATGTAGAGAGGAAATAAACACTATTTTGTGATATGACAAGTGAACGCACTTTGAGTCGTATTTTGATTAATTTGACGTTAATAATTTTATATTTGTAGATTGACTGAATGAAAATGTTTTTATATCATTTAAGTCATGCTATTTAAAAAAAAATGGTATTTATTCTCACTAAAACTGACTCCACTTGCTCGAGTTTGACAAATGACGTAAAACTCTGCGGACACTTTTAGTAACGTCATAGCATCTCTGCTATGTTTTATATTAATGCCCCGCGCTACTTTCTAACGTCACTGTGTGCGTTGCGCAAATTTAGCTGATTTAAGTGACTTTATGATTGTTTTACTACGTTTCAGGGATCTCTTTTTAGCTGAAGACTTTCAAGAACGCCTCTCACTCCTTCGGGCTCACTTGCAAAAGGGCGCCATGGTAACGCAGTGGCGTACTCAAAAATAATAAAATTATTAAAATTGAAATAATATTTTTATGAAATGTAACTGGGTGTTCACTGCACAAATGAACCAGTGGAGAAAGCGCCCCAGACCAAAAAAAAGAACTATTAATTAAAGCTGCAGCTAACAAATATAAAAAAATAAAATAAAAAGATGTGAGAGCATAATTTAAGACATCATAACAATAAAATTGTATTGTTTAAAGGTCAATATAAACAAAATTTTTATATTAGTTGTTATTTTGCACTAATAGGTATATTTTATATTAATGTCTACCTATTTGACAACTGTTTCATTATTTTATGCTAGATCAGGTATGGTCTAACATAACTGTGATGTTAAACCAACCATAATATATCAAATTAAATTTGTAGACTTTGTTTTTTTTTTGTGTGACATCGGCATCAAGGGTTATTAGCCTCGTATTCTGTGTAGGCTTTGTTACTGTTTTCCAGCGCCACTTAAGGAACTTTAGCACTGTTAATTAGAACTCAACAGTGAATGATACGAGTGGAGAATTCTACCTATGCATTATAATTATTATTTAATTCATTAAGCGGGATTCGAACCTGAGAACCTTGGATCTCTCATGACTCTAACCACTGAGCCAACCCAACCAAGACTTTGTTATTATTCTATAAAATACTATGTAACATAAAATCTTAAATTTACACATTTTTTATTCATTTAAACTTATTTTGTTAATAAGTGGAATTACTGAAAATCAGTTATTAATTTTCATCCATTTTAAAACAATTAATAAATATAACTTACATTTCCTAATAAAGAAAAAACATTGGTTAGTTCGGCTCTGGCGGATCGGCCATATTGAGTCTTCATACGCCACGCTTATTGATACCGTTTTCAAAGTTTTAAAAAGATGCTTATAGCGCCTCCCTACCTTACAACTTTATGCTGATGGTACAGGTGTCTTAAACATAGGACTAACTGCAAAAGAAACAACAGCTAATATTCAAAACAGAATGAACAGCATCCAAACCTGGTATAAACAGTGGCGCACAAAAATCAACGAAATTAAACTTTATCTTTACCACAGTGCCTTTATCAATAGAAGAATAGATTATATACAAATAAACTTAAACAGCAATAATATGGTTTACAATTATGGGGTGTATCAGAAAAGGCAATTAAAAGTTGAATCAACCCCAGAAAAAATAACCGTTGAAGTACTCCAACTCTTTGATAATGAGGGAATAGTGCGTAGACTTAAAAGAGTCGAACTCAAGTGAAATGAAGATGATAAAGCAGTTAATGCTATAAGCCACAATATCGAAATGTGAAGAATATGTTAATAACTAGTATTGAACACACATGAAATCTAGGTTTAAAATTATTACTAGTAAATTAGGTCATTACAAAACTTCTGATTAATCTTGTAAGATTAGGTGCATTGTGACATATTAAAAAAGTATATTTTACTACTGCAAAATGGTCTACAATACTTATAATCCTATACATGTGTCAATGACCTTAGCAGTCAAGATTGTAAAAATAAATTTTAATTTTATATTTCGTAATGTTTAACTAATTATAACATCGTTATTGTAACAAAAATTAATAATTTACATTATATTAACTCATCTTGTGGTAAATGCTGCTGACATACTGTTCTTTAACCATTAGCATATAAATTTAAAATGTCGGCTAAAGATCAATCATTAACGTTAATTCAAAACCTGTCAATTTTACAATAAAATACTTGTTTTATTATTACGTAGGTGGTCGAACTACGAAGAGAATTAACGACTAAAATATAATATGAAGTGTAAATTGAGGTTATCATAGAACTTTATTGTTTCCAATTAGTGCCACTGCCAATCACTGTTCTACTCTGTTACCATTAACTAAAGGTGCAAATTGAAACGTGGTTACCAGCATTTATGCCATTTAAGTTGCATTATGCCGTAACATTGTAAACAATTATACCAACCTTTTATTTTATAGCATTAAATTAGTTTATAAATGTGGATATTGTGTAAAAACTCAATTGAAATTATTGAAAAATTCGTTTTGCGTTATTTTAAAACTTTTTTATTCGAACTTTAAAGTAAAATATAATATTAAGGGGCCAGTCTTTTCAATTCTGAGTAAAGTTGTAAGTAACTATTTTCTTCATTAAATTATAGGGCTATTGTTCATCTGTCAAGTAAATACACGTGTAACTTTACTCAGAGGTGAAAAGGTCAACATTAAGTTTTGAAAAGACTTATCGCATTTTTGAATAAACTTATCAACTCAAGAAAATACAATTATATAATTTTCCGATGTTCTTCAACATCTTTAAAATCTTAAATGTTCAGCAAGGACTAGATTTCTGCCTTTGATTATGGTATGTGGCTGGAATGCAATTTTATGTCTTATTGATTTTTTGAAAATAATCGATTATTCGAAATAAACGATAATTCTTTTATTATTTTTTGTAAACACTGACGGTCAATTGGCTTTTTAATTAATCGATTATTTTTGATTTTTCAAAGATAATCAAGTAGTCAATTTTAAAGGAAATACGACAAAAAATAGATTGTTTGAATAATCGATCGATCGAAAATAATTGATTATTTTCAATGATCGATAATTTATTTCGATAATCACCCACCCCTAGCGACCAAATGACTTTTAATAGGTTTAAATTTTAAAATGTTATCTGGTTTCAGACATATGCATTTCTAGAGTTTTATGTGACTCATCCTCTATATTAATTAATATTCCTAAAGAAAGAAGCTGAAGTTACAATACAAAACAGCATTTTCTCATTTTGACTAATTTTTAATATTATGTAATAGCCGTAGAAAAAATATAATGTTCCACTCCAAAGGTTTAATTTGCAGTATTCGCCTGCGCACATGCTTTTTTTATAATAGTCGTAGACAATGAGTACCATTTCTTGCTGTATTAACAATATTGCATTTTAATATTTTACTGGATAGTCTCTTGCTGAAAAGTTCATAGTAAATAAACGCTAACGAAATAATCTATAAAAGGTCTTCTCTTTACATAAAATATCGTAACATCTGTTTGATATTAAAAAATCACGTTAATTTTATTTCATATTACAAAATTCCATTAAACATATATTTTAAATAAATCTAATAGTTCATTATGATGCTAATAAACAAAGTCCGTTCCCTGTCACAGAGTTCGGGTTTCTGTCCAGTTCACTTCGTTAACTTTTCTTTAGAAATTGGCATAATTTAACCTATTCTTTAATGACAACTTGTTGGGCTTAGGCAACTTCTCATACATTTTCTCGTGAATACTGTTGCCTGCCTATGTTTTATTATTGATTTTTATTGATTATACTTACTTTTCTTAGCTGAAGCAATACAAATATATAATGATAATTAAATTATTTTTTCACTTGTTTTACAAATTCATTTTCTTTTATTTAAACCAACAAATATATTTTTTAATTACGAATTCTATTAAAAATTGTATTGTCGGTATACTAAAAAATCGTCCGTTAGTTGATAAGTTAGTTGGCGCTGCTGTCACGCACGGTGCCAATAAAAGAAATTTTCTGAGCGTTGAATGTTAGCAAAACCTATTTTCAACTAATTACATTTACTTAAATTATGAGAGAAAACAAGTACCTATATCAGCAACTATTTACTATTAATATTTAAATGTTTGATGACTAATTAATCATTTATTTTTAATAAGTGAGATCACAGTTTTATACGATATCGGCCAAGTGCGTGTAAAAACTGGCAAGCAGAAAAGAAACAACTCCAGCAATGCCAGCTCATACAGCCTGGTCAACTTTTCAACGCGGTCAGTTCGTATAAATGGCAACGCTTACACCATTTCTTTTCCGCTCGCTCCAATGTCAACTCTCTGTAGCTTTCACTCGCACTTATGCCAAGTTATATTAGAAGGTATTCGGTGGCCGATACCGTATACAAACAAATATCATTGTTATTATTAAAAATATCACCCATAAATATATAAAACCACATTTTTTCTCAGTGTATTAAATGAAAAAATTTAAAAGAAATAGTATATCAACGAAAATAGCCAAAAATATGTAATGTTACGTTTTTTATTTGCGGAAAAATAATAAATATATCTAATAATTGAAATAATGAATTCTATTGCATAAAATTATTTATAGATTTCATAATAATACATAAATTTAATATAAATGAACTAATAATTTATTATCGTATCATATGACATTTTAATGTACACCTATATTTTACAAATAAACGTGCACATTGAATGAATGATTATAGTAAATTGGCATATAGCGTGTTTATATTATATATTGTTGTTACAGGATGATAACCTGAAGATGAACACGAACCGAAACGGAGGAGATGGCGATTTCAATTGCCGTGTGAGGCTCAACCATGTTCTAGCAATTATTATAAGAAAAGAAGGCTGTCTCAGAGGAGATCCCGGAGATTTTTGGATGTATGAAAATGGTTATTTGTTATTTCAGGTATGTTATAGTTTTAAATGTATCACCATTACCAATCTTTTGTCGAATACGTCTTGAAAGGGTGACCTTAAGGGAATTTGCCAGGGGAATAGCGTTTGACCATTCAGGACGTGAAGCTATGATTATTATTACCGAGGCTCCCTACCCATGGGGACTCAGTAATGCCCTCTTAAGTCCGAAAATGCAAAAAATACTAGGCATGGCGGGTTTTTTGTTGCAAAATCGTGTGAAAGAACACCTCCCTCTCAAAGAAGTGTGTATGCTTTGAGTTCTACCGGTAAAAATGCAATGATTTCTTCTTTTAATTCACCGACCGTGATGCGTGATTGTGTCACTTGACTTGCGGAACATATTCTACTGGCTACGAAGTGATGCCAAATACCACAAAGGGGTGATGTAGAAGCTTTCTTGCATAACGCGAAACCACGGCTCTTCTACAATAATACAATTCAATTGGGAAACGAAAAAGTGAGTAATTATGGATCTATTAACTATAACGTTGTGTCTGGCATAATTTTTTTGGAATTAAAACATCAGTGATTCCACCAGCTCATAAAACACACCAAACAGTGACATCTTGTGGAAGTAACGGCCTCTCAATAATGATTTGTGGCGTTTCTTCACACCAAATGTGAACTGAATTAAATTTGCATAATTTTCAATCGTTGTTCTGGCGCTAGTCTGTTCATGGCGAAATGGCAAACCAAACTGAACACAATTGAACTGTCAACTGTAAAACTGGCGTCGCTGAAGAAGTTGATGTCAACTCTAAAAACAAACATCTAAAAACACGCCCTTTAGAACACATTGATTTTTTTGCTAATGGAACATTTAAAAGTTGTTTTCCGCAATAACTTACGTAGACATACTGTATATTATTTTGACTTATTTTTATTTTAAATTTGAAGCCTTACTAAACTGCTGGCCACTCGAACTTACACATAGAGATTTTTAGGCAAAATTTAAAGTTCAATATTTTCAACAGGAATGCAAATTTTTGAACGCGGCTTACATATTTTAAGAGCTAGTTTTTTTCGGATTTAGCTGCATGACGTATATTTTTCGAAGGACCATAGGTTTATTATATACAGGGTAATAAATAAAGTCATGCAAAAATCAAAAAATTTGTATGAGCGAAATTGCCGCAAAAAATTTTTTTGGTCGTTGCAATATGGTTCGTTACTAAGGTAACATCAATATATCTAGATGTTTTTGTCAGTTTTTGGAATAAGGCCCTTAAGTCTTGTACACATTACTAAACATAAAAAAATTTGGGTAGCAAAATGTATAAAATGCTATCACTTGACATTGGATTGATGGTTCTTGATGATTTTTACGGATTTTGAATCCTTATTTCACGTAGATTTTCCATGGTCTAAACCTCCGAGCAATTACTAATAGAGGGAGCGTGAAAACGAGTTTGTAGGCGATTGTTGTGTTAGCAACATCTGTAGAGGAAGTGAGGAAGCGGGCACAAGGGGGAAGGTAAACATCCTTCTTGTTCAGTGGCGTATCATTTATCTATAAAAACATTGTCCAAACGTTTTAATTGTAAAAAAAAAACTAAAAAATTTGCTAATTTTACTATTTTTAAAATGAATACCGTCTTATATATGACTAATGCAGGAAAAGAAACAAAATCACTGTAAAGGTCTAATTTTTTCAATTGAAGAATAAAACCTTAAAATCAATTTTATTATTAATACAGGAGCGACTAGTTTCGGCCTTACAGGAACATCTTCAGGCCTGTAATACAATAATATTTAATTATTATAATAGGTTGGTCGCTTACGAATAACATTAAATAGTATAAACCACAAAAATGGATCCATATTGTAGCGTTACAGCATTTTAGAATTAAAGCTGTGAAAATAAAATAGAAGAGCAAACGTAACTAAAAATAAGAAAACTGATTACGGAATCTACAAGAGAAGAGGTGAGAATATGCAATTACGAATGCATTTAAATTGCTCGGGATAACAAATAAAGCTGATAATGTAGTGGTATAGTCCCCGTCAAAGAAGGTCTGGATATGTTAAAGAGAACGGCGTTTTCTCTGTAAATCTGGAGAATGTAAGGATGGAGGGAAGACGAATCTTGCTGGCTCAGGTGTAGATGAGAGAGAGAGAGAGAGATATGCTTTATTGTCGTAAAAAAATTTACAAAAATTTTATAGACAAAGCGTGTAACTTAAATACTAAACATATTATAAAAATAACTAAACAGCAGAAAAAACAAACAGAAACAAACAGACAAAATAGGAATAACAATTGCAATGGATATGCAATATCCGTCATTATAATTATTCTAATTTAATTTTTAAATTTAAATTTAAACTTTAATATTTAATTAATGCCATTGTATGTGGAACTCAAATGTCTAAGGTACGTTATAAAATTCTGCTACTGTGTAATATGGTCTTTCTAGAAGAAAAGCTTTAGCCAGTCTTCGGAACTTATCGTATGTATTTATAGATTTTAATTGCATCGGAAGGTTATTATACAATTTTTTGGCATTGTAGGTAATGGAATGTTTTAATAGGTCAGAAGTGGGCATTGTTAAATAAACATCAGTCTCTAAATTTCTTGTAGGATATCTACGAGTCGGTCTTTCGGATAAATTTTGAATGTGCTTGCGAACTAAGCAGACGGATTCGAAAATAAATAGAGCAGGAAGGGTTAGAATTTTGAAATTTTTGAAGTAATTTTCGCAATGTGTCCTACTACTTAAACCAAATACATAGCGGATTGCTCTTTTTTGCAGTTTAAAAATAGATTCGAAAAGGTATAAGCTACAAGAACCCCAGAAAGGTAAACCATAGCGAAGGTGAGATTCGAATAAGGAAAAGTAGGTTATTAATGCAGTAGAAGGAGTCAGCTCTTTAGAAACCGATTTAATGGCAAAACATGCGGAGGATAATTTTTTGCTAAGGTATCTATATGAGCAGACCATTTTAGAGAATCGTCTATATAGAGACCTAAAAACTTGATTGAAGTCACCGTTTGGATCAGATTATTGTTTAAAGTTATAGAAAAAGGAGCGTGTAGATGAAAGATCCAGTAAATATAATCACTTTCGTCTAATTTTTTATTCTTACTTACCGTTTCGGCTTTATCTTCGAACTTCATTTTTAAAAGGAAATAAAAGTAATCATTCATACAAGCATATAATAAAACAACATGAATTCATTATATTTAATAAGCTAATAAACGTTTGTTTCAATGAAAAAAACATATATGTGAGTATAAAAAATATATAAATTAATATCAAAATCAATTTGAAAATACAACAGATATTAAAATGAAATAAATTAGTACAAGTACAAATAGAAAGTTAATAACACCTTCTAAAAGTAATACATTTTAAGTAGATAAATGTTTAAAGAGTTTATTCCTGAACATAACTAATCTAACGTTTTCCCCCTTTTTAATATTATGAGGGTTTTTGTAGTTGAAATGAAAATTATAATTTATTTTGCTCCTAATAAAAATTTAAACATAGGTTATCAAAGAGTAAAATTCATAATAGAACTTCATAATCTTAAATCGTTATCAAAAATTATTAATGGTAAAACTTCAAACAATAGATTCTTAAACAAATTTCTAGTTTTTGTTTTGCAGAAGACTTTTTTGCCTTTTATTTTAGTAGTTTCGAGGAGAATTTTCCTGTGGAAACCAGTAGAACCATCAATTGGTTGGTAAAATTTTGATATTTTGAGTCTGGTAAGTCTTGTTAAACTTTCTTCTTAGGAAGCTATAACCTTATGGAGAATAAAAATTTTATGTTAGATCAAAAGCTCTTAATTGAGAATTATATTTGCAAAGGCCGTTTAAATAATATTTTCAAAAGTTCTTGGAATCGTTGTTAACAGAAACCTGCAAAAAAATATATAATTTTATTCCTATAATATAAGATATCACACAATGCACATTCATATAATATCATTGTGCTAGAAAAATACTAGGTAGTTACTGAGACAATTTAAAAAAAGTATTTCAAAAAACTCAACTTTTAATGTCATCATTGTACTTAACTTTTTATTGCTAAATTATTAATAATGTCATTTTGTGTAGTTCGTTGTGATTTGTATAATATATATTATAAAAAACTATCATCAATGTTAATGTGCCAAGTTTTTTTAATAATTATGTCCTTGTTATAGTAAAAACACATTTAACCACATTTTTAAAGTTTTCTGTATTTCTGCTTTAAATTATCGTACAATTGAACTGACTAATTGTGAGTTTAAGTAAAGGTATATCTCTTTTTTGTTTTAACAGTCTTTGTATATTGTTCTGACTTTTTAGATAATCAGAGAAAACAGTAAGACATCTCTTAATATATCCTATTTCACCAACAAAAATGTAGAATAAATAATCTCACATCAAACGAAAAAAGTAATTTTAGGGTGTCCTAATAGGTTTTAACTTAAAAACTAAATAAAATGTATATTGCAACTGTGTTTAAACAAATGAATGTTTTTATACCTGACTATAGCACCAGACAAACATTTTTTTAGATCATAATGATCTGCATAACTCAAAATAGTCAAAATCCACATTATTTAAGTTGTTCTAGTATTGTTTTAGCATAACGATGTTAACTCCAATAATAAATATTCATATTTTTTTGGGACGTTTTTTAAGGAAATTAAAAAAAATCATGAATAATGTGATATTCTTGTTTAGTTGTGTACTATATAATATAGTTCATTAGGTAGTGATTTAGAAGAAAATTATGTTCTATTTATAGAATAAAAAATCACTCATAATATCTAAATATTTATACCTATTTATATTTTGGACTATTTTATGTTTTTGGCTCTGAATAGTTTTCTTAAGAATTTTAAAACCTTCCTTAGCTCTTTTGGGATATTCCATGCATATCTTAGAAGTTCATTTTGTTTAAACCTAAAACAAATTAAGTACAAAAAATTAACATTTAAACAATACACAAAATTAGTCTTTTAGATTAGTGAAAAAAAAGTGTCAACAAAAAAA